ATCAAGGCCTCATTTAAGAAGGGATAGACACAGCTGTCTCTACAAAAAATACAAAATTAGCTGGCCATGATGGCACATGCCTGTAGTCCCAGCTACTCAGAAAGCTGAGGTGGAAGGATCACTGCAGCCCAGAAGGTTGAAGCTGCAGTGAGCTGTGATCACATCATTGCACTCCCCAGATCAAGACCTTGTCTCAAAAACAAAATCAGAAACAACAAAAAAAGAAGGGGCCAGGCTTTGTGGCTCACACCTGTAATCCCAGCACTTCAGGAGGCCGAAGCAGGTGGATCACCTGAGGTCAGGAGTTCAAGAACAGCCTAGACAACATGGTGAAAACTTGTCTCTACTAAAAATAAAAAATTAGCCAGATGTGGTGACAGGGACCTGAAATTCCAGCTACTCGGAAGACTGAAGAAAGAGAATCACTTGAACCCGGGAGGCAGAGGTTGCAGTGAGCCAAGATGGTGCCACTGCATTCCAGCCTGGGCAACAGAGCAAGACTCTATCTCAAAACAAACAAACAAAAAAAGGTGAGAGGGGATAGACAAAAGAGCCAGAAGAATTCACAAGGTTTAGTGGTTAAATGTGGTTTTTAAGTCTGACTGACTCAGAGAATTGAAAGAATTTTAAGAAAAATTTAAAGGAAGAAGGAAATAGAAAGTCAAAAAGGAAGACATGGTTTTGGAGAGGGGACATTTTTACTTTGGGAAAGCATCCAACATATAACTGAAAATATAGGTCTCTTTGGGAGAGGCAGGCTTCACCTACGTCTCTTGCAGGGGGACATGGGTGGAGCCGCTAGCATAGAGGTACAGAACTAAAATCATGGACTTCAGTGACTCTTCCAGAGACTGAACATAATGAACCATCAAACCACAAGAAATGCCCCTATTCATGGAGTAAAAAGAAAAATGCCAAAAAAGGAGAGGTTACAGAAGAAGGAGAAAAACCAAAACAATGCAACATCAGGCCAATTCCGGAGAATTTCAAGATGGAGAACCCAGTCAACAATGACTCCCAGCAAATGCCCAGACAGATTTGCAAAGCACAGTGCATTGTAAATTAAATGTTCTGAAAGTTCTGTAACAAGTAAAACATTTTTTACTTTTTCAATCCACAATTCCTCAAGTTCATGTGACCCTCCCCCCACCCCCCAACGTCAAGACTTTCATTTCTAACAACTCCCAAAACTGGTATATAGGCATGCTTTGGCAAATGGTGTCTGAGCCAAAGCTAAAGCAGTAGAGGGGTAAAGCAGATTTCTGCCAGACTGGGGAAGGGCCAGTAAGGGCACAGCTCTCTCCTCATCTCCTGTGACACCAGCTCCTCCCCATTTGCCCTCACCTCCTTTTGCAGCACTCAAACAAATGCTGTTAACATCCCCAAACCCTAATGAAACTATTAGGCCACCGATATCAGGAAGCAATTCTGGTCCACCACAGGCAGATATTTGAAAACGTTTTAACAAAGCTATTTCATTTACTAGTCATTTCATTTTGTTCTGAATTGTTCTAACCGATTTAGCTGACTCTGGGGGTTTCAGAGGAACAGACTCACTGGGGAAGAGTAAAAGCCTCCTTTTTCCTCTCTTGTATTGAGGCAGATAAGGTCAGAATTGAACCGGCCGGGAGTTGGAGTGAAGAAGCAAGAGCATCCCCTAGTGGCAGACTGCTCCAGGCCCTTGAATAAAAGAATGGTATTAAGCTCTGGAGTTAAACCACTCAGGAGGGAGTAAAACACAGTGAATCTTCCCAGGCTACCAGGCAGGTGCTTGTTAAACTAATAAGTACTCCAGGTGATATTTCTTTTTGCATTTAAAGTGTCACACTGTGAACAGTTTGAGAATGAAAAATGGCTGCCAAGTAATGCCTTATTCAAAGGAAGATTTCAGTGAAATGATGATTATTAAACACTTTATCATTACACATAAGATGCTGTCCATCTCTGCTGCTAGCACTGCATTAAATGCTGTGATTTGTGCATTAATTTAAAGTGAGGCCACTAGATTAATACTCTCTGTTGACATCCAGTTCTTCATAAGAAAGTTGCTCAAGGTTTAAATAGATTAGAAAACACAAGGTTTCACGCTTTCTTTCTGGACAGACTTCTGGACAAATGCCATTGTGCTTTACCACACTGAACAAGCCTTTGCCCTGGTGACCCTGATGGCTGCAGATGGAAAGAATCAAATTACAATATGAGGAAATAAGACGTTTTGTCATTATAGTTTTTAATAGTGACAGGCATTTGCTAAATTTAGAAGGCCCAGGTTTGTTTGGGTTTCTGAATGGCATCTGGGTTTTTCAGTTATTGCAATGCACATTATAGCAGTAGCCTGCAAGTACAAGATATGTTTCATTTGGTTTAAATTTGAATTAAGTCAAACAGCTCTGAGAAGGAAGACATAAAATACAAAGCATTCAGTGGTTCTGTAATTGCCTTATGAAGTCCTGTGGAGGAAGGGCAAAAAAAAAGACAAGGTCATTTATTTGATCTACACTTCAAAATTGTGGTGCCTAAACAGAAAGTTGTTTTTATTTTCAGACCAAGAGCTCAGCATGCAATAGCCCTAAAATAAAAATCAATCACTCAGAAAATGTCAGGCCACCCCGTAATTTTAAGCTTTAACTCTTTAAACAATCTTTAATACTTCAATATCAGATTCATCATTGTATATTCCACAGGCCAAGAAAGAATAAACAATGTGGTTGAAAGAAATGAAATCCTAAGCAGGCAGATTGCAAGGTCGGGAGTTGGAGACCAGCCTGCTGACCAACATGGTGAAACCCCGTCTCTACTATAAATATAAAAATTAGCCGAACGTGCTGGCACACACCTGTAATCCCAGCTACTCAGGAAGCTAAGGAAGGAAAATTGCTTGAATACAAGAGGTGGAAGTTGTAGTGAACCGAGATTGCACCACTGCACTCCAGTCTGGGTGACAGAGTGAGATTCCGTCTCAACAACAACAACAAAAAAGTAAAATCCTGAATATTGCAAACTCTTCAAGTGTTTGTGGAAAAAATCTTAGTAACCAGGGAAGAATAGTCACAAACACCTAACTAGAAACTTCTTAGGAGGAAAATTTTTCTAAAAGCAAAAAGAGTACTAATTTATATTTCTTTTACTTGTTGTTGTTGTTGTTGTTGTTTGTTGTTTGTTTTTTTTGAGACAGGGTCTCGCTCTGTCACCCAGGCTGGAGTGCAGTGGTGTGATCATAGCTCACTGCAGCCTTGATCTCCTGAGCTCAGGTGATCCCACATGCCATTATGCTCAGCTAATCTGTGTATGTTTTGTAGAGATGCACATGTTTCATCATGTTGCCCAGGCTGGTCTCAAACTCCTGAGCTCAAGTGACTCTTCTGCCTTGGCCTTCCAAAGTGCTGTGGGGCTCTAATTTGTATTTCATTTATACAAATATGTGCTCTGAAAACAGATAGTCTAGGTTCAAATCTTGGGCAGGTTTGTTAATCTCTCTGACCTTCTGTTTTCCTATCTGAAAGGAGGAAATCATATTATCTAAACTATAGGGTTATTATATTAAATGAGATAATCCAAATACAACAATTAGCATCAATCATGCCTAGAATATAGTAAGTTTAGTCCAATAAGTATGAGCTAGCATGCAAATTATTATAAACAATCCAGCTGGGCACAGTGGCTTGCTTCTGTAATTCTAGCACTCTGGGAGGCCAAGGCAGCAGGATTGCCTGAGGCCAGGAATTCAAGAGCATCCAGAGCAACATGGCAAGACCCCATATCTACAAGAAAAAAAAATTTTTTTTTTTTTGAGATGGAGTTTCGCTCTTGTTACCCAGGCTGGAGTGCAATGGTGCGATCTCGGCTCACCGCAACCTCCGCCTCCTGGGTTCAGGCAATTCTCCTGCCTCAGCCTCATGAGTAGCTGGAATTACAGGCACGCGCCACCATGCCCGGCTAATTTTTTGTATTTTTAGTAGAGACGGGGTTTCACCATGCTGACCAGGTTGGTCTCGATCTCTTGACTTCATGATCCACCCGCCTCAGCCTCCCAAAGTGCTGGGATTACAGGCTTGAGCCACCGCGCCCGGCCTGAAAATTTTATAAAAACAAAACAAAAATCCATGCACAGTGGTGCATGCCTCTGGTCCCAGCTATTCAGGAGGCTGAGGCGGGAGGATCACTTGAGCCCAGGGGATTGAGGCATCACTAAGCAATAATGGTGTCACTGCAGTCTAGCCTAGGCAACAAAGCAAGAATATGTCTCCGAAAAAGATAAAAGGCCCCAGGCACAATGGCTTATGCCTGTAATCCCAGCACTTTGAGAGGCCCCAGTGGGTGGACCACCTGAGGTCAGGAATTCGAGACCAGCCTGACCAACATAGTGAAACCTGTTTCTACTAAAAATACAAAAATCCTCCCAGAGTGGTGGTGTCCACCTGTAGTCCCAGCTACTTGGAAGGCTGAGGCAGGAGAATCTCTTGAACCTGGGAAGCGGAGGTTGCAGTGAGCCAAGATTGCACCACTCACCACTGCACTCCAGCCTGGGCAACACAGCGAGACTCTGTCTCAAAAAAAAAAAAAAAAGTGAAACAATCCATATATTCATAAACGATGATTGCTTAAATAATGTATAGCATGTACACCCTTTTTTTTTTTTTTTTTTTTTTGACGAGACAGAGTCTCGCTTTGTTGCCCAGGTTGGAATGCAGTGGTGCGATCTCAGCTCACTGTAACCTCCACCTCCAGAGTTCAAGTGATTCTTGTGCCTCAGCCTCCCAAGTAGTTGAAACTACAGGCATGCACTGCCACACCTGGCTAAATTTTTTTTGTATTTTTAGTAGAAACAGGGTTTTACCATGTTGCCCAGGCTGGTCTCGCACTCCTAAGCTCAGGCAATCCACCTGCCTTGGCCTCGCAAAGTGCTAGGATTGTTTAAGTGTGAGCCACTGAGCCCAACCACAGTATGTACACACATTAAATGGAATATCATACAGCTATAAAAATGGAAGAAACGGCGCGCGGCCACGTTTGAATGGCCCTGAGTGGGACTCGGCCCAGAAGCCGAGGGATTTCTAGGCTGCCGGCCTGGATTGAGGAACCGCGGTACCATGAGGCGCCGGTACTTAAGAGATTATGGCATCGGAAACCCACAATGTTAAAAAACGGAACTTTTGTAATAAGATTGAGGGTCATTTCATTGATCTTCCTAGAAAAAAGATCTCTAATTTCATTAATAAGAACATGAAGGAGGTTAAGAAATCTCCAAAACATTTGGCTGCCTACATAAATAGAACAGTTGGACAAACTGTGAAAAGCCCAGATAAACTTCGTAAAGTGATCTATCGCAGAAAGAAAGTTCATCATCCCTTTCCAAGTCTTTGTTACAGAAAAAAACAGTCCCCTGGAAGTGGGGGCTGTGACATGGCAAATAAAGAAAATGAACTGGGTTATGCAGGCCACCTGCCTGAAAAATTACACCATGATAGTCGAACATATTTGATTAACTCCAGTGATTCTGGTTCTTCACAGACAGAGAGCACATCATCAAAATACAGTGGGTTTTTTTCTGAGGTTTCTCAGGACCATGAAACAATGGCCCAAGTTTTGTTCAGCAGGAATTTGAGATTGAATGTAGCTTTAACTTTCTGGAGAAAGAGAAGTATAAGTGAACTTGCAGCTTATTTATTGAGGATAGAAGATCTTGGCGTTGTGGTAGATTGCCTTCCTGTGCTCACCAATAGTTTACAGGAAGAAAAACAATATATCTCACTTGGCTGCTGTGTAGACTTGTTGCCTCTAGTAAAGTTGCTACTTAAAAGCAAATTTGAAGAACATGTTATAGTTGGTTTAAACTGGCTTCAAGCAGTCATTAAAAGGTGGTGGTCAGACCTATCATCCAAAACAGAAATTATAAATGATGGAAATATTCAGATTTTAAAGCAACAATTAAGTGGATTATGGGAACAGGAAAACCATCTTACTTTGGTTCCAGGATATACTGGTAATATAGCTAAGGATGTAGATGGCTATTTATTACAGTTACATTGAGAGATTTCATCTACTAAAGAGCATTTGGTTTTTCAAAAGATCCCTGAACTATATGATTTACAACAAAAAAGTCTCGTCTGAGAACTGAACTGTGGAAGAAATCGAAAGTATTTTTTCTTTTAAAAAGCCACATAATGAAACCACTAAAGAAACTCCAACAGTCTACTTCACATTGAAGTGGAAAGCAGCTTCAGCTTCATTGAGGTGAAAGTGCACTTTGAAGATTGTTCACCTTTGTTGCATTTGGGAGTTATATGGTTATTTGGTAACATTAAGAACTACTGGATTTTAATGCAATTCTGCATAGAATATAATTTATACTATGTGAAAAAATAAGACAGGACTTACTACTAGGAACCACCAAGACCAATCGTTAACTTTTTTAAGATTGTGTTTTATTTAAAAAAAACAAATAAAAAAAAAAAAACATTTAAGTGTGTGCAGCTATTTTCTTATATTGAAAAGACTGAAAGCTTAAAACATGAAAAATCAATATTAAAATTTTTTTGTTCACATTGAGATACTGTGTATGCAAAATGCCTTAATTATTAATAAGCCAATGTGTTATGATACCAATATCTGTTTTAAAAAAGTAAAACCAACGATGCTTTTGGCATGATAAAATCATGTAATTAAATCAGGGGTTTACATTCTTGTAGAATGTTCTTGAAACACTCTCTGCACCATTTTTAAAACTTGAGAATAGTTTTAGTATCTCTGATATTTTTTTGCCAGAATCATCATATCATGTATGTATGTGTTATCACTGTCTAAGGAAAAATGTGAATATGTATTTGTATGAATGTTTAACTGGAAATGTCCATGGACTTGGCTAATTTATATTCACTTTTTATTGTACATAGATTTCTAATATTTTTCATTTCTGTATCGTTTAACTTTCTTCTTTGAGTAAATTCACTAAATATTTCTATTTTTGGCTTTTCTTAAAAAAATGGAAGAAACACTCTATGCACTGATATGGAAAGATGTACAAAACATACTCTAGAAGAGAAAAAAAAGATAGGAACAGTATAGTATTTTGGGGTTAAAAGAAGGGACAAGAATAAGAACATATTCTATTTGTATTTGCATGAAAAAATTCTCATAGGATACACAAAGAAACTAATAAAAATTATTATCTGGCCAGGCACAGTGGCTCATGCCTGTAATCCCAGAACTTTGGGAAGCCAAGGTGGGCGGATCACCTGAGGTGGGACGTTTGAGACCAGCCTGACCAGCATGGAGAAACCCCGTCTCTACTAAAAGTACAAAATTAGCCACGCATACTGGTGTGTGCCTGTAATCCCAGCTAATCAGGAGGCTGAGGCAGGAGAATTGCTTGCACCCAGAGGCAGAGGTTGCTGTGAGCCAAGATCACACCATTGCTCTCTAGCCTGGGCAACGAGAGCAAAACTTTTCTCTGTCTCTCTCTCTCTCTTTATATATATAATTTATAAAATATATACAAAATCTGAGGATTAATGTGGGGAAAAAACTGGGTGAAAAGATAGAAACAGAATTAATAGAAAAGAAGTCAGGACTAAGACTTTTACTTTACACTATTTTGTAGTTTTAATACATTAATGAATGTATTTCTGGTTTTTAAAAAACAGAATTAATTTTATTTTGTTGGCTTTTATTAATTCAAAGTACAAAAGGATAAGCATCCTGGCTGGATACGTGACTTATGCCTGTAATCCCAGCATTTTGGAAGGCCATGGCAGGTGGATCACTTATGGTCAGTTCGAGACCATCCTGGCAAACCTGGTGAAACCCCATTGCCACTAAAAATACAAAAAAAAAAAAAAAAAATTAGGCAGGTGTGATAGTATGCACCTGTAGTCTCAGCTACTTGGGAGGCTGAGGCAGGAGAATCATTTAAACCCAGGAGGTGCAGGTTGCAGTGAGATGAGATCATACCACTACACTCCAGCCTGAGCAACAGAGTGAGACTCTAACTCAAAAAAAAAAAAAAAAAAAAAAAGAAGAAGAAGAAGAAGAAGCATACTAATATATACTTGTCCTTTGATTCTTTGTTTGTTCATTTGTTTATTTGAATTTACTGTGGGATACTGTAGGGATACACATAGCACTTAAAGAAACAGGAATTTTACTAAAATGCTTCATGGTCAGCAGGGCCAAGATGGTCTGGAAGATAGAGCTAGTGATTTATAGATCTTCATGTCAATGTACCACCAGTCTATTTCTTTGATATTTATGTGAACAAGTTTCCAAATGCAAGCTCTCAAAGTGAGCATGTAAGTAAACATCACTGCTCCTGTGTAATTAAATGTAATAAATTACCCAGACTCACAAAGAAATTAGTTTCATTCTCCTTTTGCTCCTTTTCTTCTTCTACTGAGGGCGGCCTGTCTCTAGAAAGAAAATGTGGCTTTCCAAGAAAGGCATCAAACAAATCTTGTCTCAAATTTAGAGTTCACAATCTGCTATCTATTATCCTCATAAGCCTCAATTTTCTTACATAAAAAAAAGGGTAATGAAACTTTTTTATAGGATTAATGAGATTCAAGATATATAAAGAAAATACTACAGCATCCTGAGGAAATATAGGCTCCACACTCATGAACAATAAATGAGTTTCTCTGAAATATGCGTAAGTAAATGTGAGCCAAAGAGAAATTTTATCAAGACAGTTTGTTAGTCAAACACAGTGGCTCATGCTTGTAATGCCAGCACTTTGGGAAACCCAGACAGTAGAATAGCTTAAAGCCAGGAGTTTGAGACCAGCATGGGCAACATAGTGAGACCTCATCTCTACAAAAAGTTTAAAAAAAAAAAAAAAAAAGCCAGATACGGCAGTGGTGCATACCTAGAGTCCTAGTTACTTGGGAGCTGATGTGGGAGGACAGCTTGAGCCCAGGAGTTTCAGGCTGCAGTGAGTACAATCATGCCACTGTACTCCAGCCCGGGTGACAGAGCAAGGCTTTGCTTCTGAAAAAAAAAAATTATCCAAAGATATTTCTTCAATAATACACAATTAAACGAACTTACAAACAGTCCAGGAGTCCAGAAAGAACCCAGCTGTATTTACTATGAGGGTAATTGCCAACTACATGAAATTAGATTCTTATGAGTTTGTGAAGATAGTCATTGTGTACCTAGGTGTATTGTTAAATTTACATGATCCAAAGTGAGAGTACAGCAGCCGATTAAAGTATCAAAATTCTTTTCTTTGGACTGAAGATTATATCAACTAGCATAGTAATACTGTAGTAATAGTATGGCTCACATTAATCGGAAGGTCCAGTTAACAATTGCATATATTATAACTTTGATTAAGCAAAAGGTGAAACAAATTATGTTAATAAATGCTTTGTTATTTTAAATAAAAAAAAGTCTCTCAAAACATGTAGCCCAATGCAGGGTGAAGAAGAGGCAACCCTCATTCGTGAATAAGTCAGGAAGAAGGGTTTAAAATAGCGGTGTACGCATGTTCTCACTGATAGGCGGGTGGTGAACAATGAGAACACATGGGCACAGGGAGGGCAGCATCACACACTGGGGTCTGTTGGGAGGAGCCAAGGGAGGGACAACGGTGGGGTGGGAGATTGGGAGGTCTAGGAGGGATAGCATGGGGAGAAATGCCAGATGTAGGTGACAGGATGGAGGCAGCAAACCACATTTCCATGTGTGTACCTATGCAACAATCCTGCATGATCTGCACATGTACCCCAGAATCTAAAGTACAATAAAAAATAAAATAAAATAAAATAAAGCAGCAGTGTGGAAGTAAACTGGCTTTACTACTCCCCACAGAAAACCTAAAACAAACAAACGACACTGGGGTTTTCACCAGCAACAACCCAGAACTCAAATACGAGGAGACAGATTCTGGGGCTACGGAGAAGAGGAAAAAACAAAAGAAAGAAAACTCTGAGCAGGTTATAGGAGATGATTCTTCTTCATCTGCAAGGCTCACCCCATTCTGCCCAGCAACAAGTGCATGAAACATCTTTCCCCAAAGCATGATTTCTATACTAGAAAACATGAGATTGAAGTGGTCAATCAGCTTTACCATCATCTTAGATTTTCTGGCAGGAGACCTGTCCTTGCCTTAACCCATGAGAAGCACTGTAGCTGTCCACAGGGAGAAATATACCTAAGGATGGGAAGCGACAAAAGGTAGAGGCAGGACTACCATCCCCAGCCCTGGAAACTCCGCTCTATAATTTGGCCACAGGAAATACCAAATTGGAGTGGGTATTCAGCAGCACCATATTGTAGGATGTTTCACAGGTCCCTTGGGCACAAACCCCTAGTAAGCTTACCCACATGGCCAAACTAACTCCTTTGGGATAAGTGACACTTCAATCATTTTCTAGAGTCAAGGAAAACCTGGCCTTAAGGTGCCACCTAAAGCTGATAAAAGACAATGACCTAGCAGTAACGATTTGCTATGAAAATATATCCAATAAAAAACAAAACAAGCCGGAGAGAGAACACTGGAATAAATAAATTCTTCAATGCAAAGACGTGAATTTATACCCATGAGAAATAACAGTAAGCAGGGAACCGAAACCTCCCCCAAAAAGACAAAGCAAAAATCCAGTGATTGACGATAATTAGATGGCAATTTGTGAGCTCCCTGACTAAGAATTCAATAGCAATTTTAAGGAGACTCAGGAATCTCCAAAATAATACAGAAAAGCACTTCAGAAATTTATCAGAGAAATTTAACAAAGATACTGAAGTAATAAAAAAAAATCCAACAGAAATCTTGAAACTAAGAAGTGCATTTGCTGCACTGAATGAAGGACTCATTAAAGACTTTAAAGGGCAGAATGGATTAAACAGAGGGAAAAAAAAAAATCAATGAGCTTGAAGACCAGCTATTGGAAAACATACAGTGAAAGAAGAAAAAGAAAAAAGAACATAAAGGAACAAAGACCACCTACAAGACATAGAGAATTATCTTAAAAGAACAAATCCAGAGCTCAACAAGAGCAAGGGATAGAAATCTCATTCATAAACTCTTAGAAAGTGGAACAAAAAAAAAGAAAGAAAGAAAGAAAAATATTATTCAAAGAAATAATATCAGAAAAATTTTCAAAACTTGAGGAAGATATAAATATCCAGGCACAAGAAGGTCTGAGAACATCAAACAAATTCAATTCAAGTAAGACTACCCCAAAACATGTAACAATCAAACTCTCACCCAGGCACAGTGGCGCATGCCTGTAATCCCAGCACTTTAGAGGCCGAGATGGACAGATTACTCGAAGTCAGGAGTTCAAGACCAGCCTGGGCAACATGGCAAAACCCCATCTCTACTAAAAATACAAAAATTAGCTAGGCATGGTGGCATACGTCTGTAATCCCAGCTATTTGGGAGGCTAAGACATGAGAATCACTTGAATCTAGGAGGCAGAGGTTGCAGTG